AACAAAAGAAAACACACATGTCGAGGTTAGTAAAATTACAAATAGCAGAAAAAAACTGAGCACTAAAATCAACTACAACTTTTTTACGCATTGGCTTCAAACCAGCGACCTCGAGAATTGCAATCTCACACCATGCCGTCTCGACCACGAATGTTTAACAATCGAAAAACACTAGTCACAAATAAAGCTGCTACATATGCCAATAGATTGCCAATGCGAAGCAGCAAAAGTGGCACCAAAAACAAATAGTCACAATTTTGCAGGAAATAATTTGGAATATAACAAACTGAAGGCATCCACACTAGCTTTCCATGTAACAAATTGGAAAGCATAAAATCACATCATGTATAAATAATGCATTTCAAAAATTTGGTACCTATCAAGCGGAAACAAATAGGAACAAAAAAAAGCGGAACAAAATTGTTGTCATGAAAAACATTAAATTCTATTAAGGTTTTTCGCAACTTGTGCAATCCACAGAGGACCATAAAATTTTTAAAACTACTCAAAAAAAATTTGGGCAGAATACAGTTTTTAAGCAAAGAAAAACAAGAACAAAAGAAAACACACATGTCGAGGTTAGTAAAATTACAAATAGCAGAAAAAAACTGAGCACTAAAATCAACTACAACTTTTTTTACGCATTGCCTTCAAACCAGCGACCTCGAGAATTGCAATCTCACACCATGCCCTCTCGACCACGAATGTTTAACAATCGACAAACACTAGTCACAACTAAAGCTGCTACATATGCCAATAGATTGCCAATGCGAAGCAGCAAAAGTGGCACCAAAAACAAATAGTCACAATTTTGCAGGAAATAATTTGGAATATAACAAACTCAAGGCATCCACACTAGCTTTCCATGTAACAAATTGGAAAGCATAAAATCACATCATGTATAAATAATGCATTTCAAAAATTTGCGAGTTAGAAAATTTCTTTAACCGAGTTTTTATTTGGTTATAATGTTTGAAAAAATAGCTTTTTTCGGTTGATTTCATGAAATAAAAAACATCAACTGTGTTAATTTATTACTATTCATGCTTCAAAGCACATGCAATCAAAAAACTGTTAAGGTGCTTCTATCAAAAAGCTTCTAACCTATTGCGTCTTCGAGCATCAAACTTTCGAGGTTATCATTGGTCTTAATAAGAACAAGACTGGTAGCACCAAGCAGTTTTCTTTTTAAAAATCGAACAATCCGCATGAATTTGACTTCAAATTGGATAGTTTCCGATCACGAATAAGACTTTACGAATGAAATTACTTATTTCTTTAACTTTCAGAAAGCAAAATTGTATTCTGCTTGATGCATTTGGATAACACGGTACTACTTGCTGTTTTGTCTATAATTTGGAAAAGTCTTCTCTAGACAATTACCTAATTTGAACTATGAAAAAACTATGTAAATTTTCGAATAAAATTTTTTAAAAAAATCTTTCAAGTTCATATCATTAAAGCCAATAGATTTCAGCATGATCAAAATCAAAAGTTTTTTTAATGAATAGTTGCTTCGAATAACCGTTTAATCCCCTTCTTAGCTGTTCCATTAAATTATCCTGTATCCACTTCATTTGCTGCCATCAATTAAAAAATCAAGCTTATTAAATTACACGAGGCAAAGCGGAGCTCCGCAGCATTTGTGATTCAAAAAAGCCAGAAATCAGAATTACAGCGTAAATAATTTCTGTAAAAACAGGGACATTCTTAATTTGACAAGTATCGGTACGTCCTAGACATTCTTAAAAACAAGGATGCTCAAACAAAAAAACCAAAAAACTAAAAATCTAAGAAAAAATCAGTGAACATTCACTAGCACAGAACCTGATCACATTGAAAAAAATTCAATAATAGTAAAATTGCTCAAGTCTTCGAAAAAATTTTATGCGGCTAGGATCAAGCCGACAAATCACACAAACAAAAATCCGACAAAAACTCTTGTTAGGCGCAGATCTTTTTTTTAACAAAAAAACAGGTGCTATTCGGATTCGAACTAGGAATCGTTACCTTCTCACGCAAATGCGCTACATCTGCGCCAAATTTAAAAATGAACACCTTGATTTTAGTTTTATATGCACCAAGTTGTTAAATGATTTCGTTAAGCTAATAATTTACCTGAAAAAAGACTTCGTTCCCATTTCATAACTCATGCTCGAAAATAGGACGATTTGAGCAGTCATATTTCAAGGCTAGATTTGCAATGCCCTAGAGCACCCTCACAACACCCCATTCTAGAGCTGAGAATTAGCTCAACCAAACTTTTTTAAAGAAAAATCACGAGAACTGTCATATCTCGCAAGCTAAAAGGATTTCAGCAGGACTTTTTGATCAGATTTGCAAACCCTGGCAGAGCCCTGATAGCACCTCATCATAGGGTTTTTAACATCAAACTTTGTGAGCTGAACACTAAAAAACACGCTTAAGAGATCCCTATGTGAAAGATACTGATAGATATAGACAGATAGATCGATAGATAGAGATAAACAAGAATAGCCTGTTACTGTGCAAATACCACAGAATGTTCTGACCAGTCTTAGAAAAACAAAAAACTTTCTTCAATTTAGTGTCGTTTTTTCTGTGTGGTGTGATAAAAAAGATCTGAACGAAAAGACCTTAATTAGGCAAAATCGACAGTCATAGTCATATAACCGAAATATAAAACAGTTTTTAACACAGAGGCAAAGCTGCGCTTCGCAAACACAAGCGAGGAAAACGCAAAAAAGAGCTCTGAACAGGCAAAACAAAATGAAATCCGGAAAAAGGAAACATAGCCAACAGACAGTTGGAAAAGAGTAATGAACGCAAGAAAACAAAATAACACTGACTTCGTTTAAAAAATCTCTACTCTCGAATTTCAAGGAAAAAAAATAGATGCCCTTTATGCTCGTTCAATTTCTAAAACAATTAATGAATGGTGTTGTTTGATAGCATTATCCAACTTGCTGGATCAATAACTAAAATTTTTAGTCCGCTCGAAAATCTTAAAATTAAATTCCACTTTCGAAACAGAAATTCTTCACGTTTTTTGCGCCAATTTTACGTTCGTTTTTGGCGAGCGCTATTTAGGTAATTTTCAGCGGATGAAATTCAATTGAACTCAAAAAGTGCATATATACCTAAGTGCATTCATAAATGCATCAATATCTATGAATGCACATCTGTAGTTTTCAGAGCATTTCAAGACTTTCCTGAAAAAAATCACCAAGACCTATATATTCAATTCGATATTCCGTATCGCAAAAAGTAATTCAATATTCCTGATTTGAATCACCCACTTGTTGATTAGGATCCTCACGTTCTAACATTCAAGTCACGGTCACTTTGAGGTAAACTAGTGGCCCAAATAATGCTGGGTGCACCTGTTTTAATATTTTAAACTTTGATTGTACTGATGCCGAAATGCGTAACTTTCAAAAATGCACTTTACGCAAAACACTAGAAATTTCCCTAGTTGACTAGGGGATTAGCAGCTTATCTAGAGGGAAAAACTATTACTCACTCTTTCGACTGACTTCATTTTCTCAGAATTGACTGAGTAGTTTTCGAAAAAAAAAGTGAAAAAAGATTCCAAGAAACAATCAAATATTGTAAAATTTGACTTTTCCTCAATCCATTTACTTTTCTCTAATAAAGCATGGGTATGGCATTTTACGCAGGGAAGACTTCTATGCCATGCTTTTTAAATTGAACCCTTAATATCAGATTTAGCTAGTAGTTTTCGTGCTAAAAACGGTACAAATTTCAGAAAGTTTTAAAATTCTACAACGGTATAAATTTCAGAAATTGGATTTTGTGCGATGTCCATATGAGCTTTTCTGCAAAAAATAGAGTTTAACAGATTACACAGGGAAAATCTAAGCACCATGTTAATTTGCTTGAAATAACAAACTCAGAATCAGCTATTTAATTTAAAAAAAAAGTTTCCAAAAAAACGGTCAAAATTTCAAACATAGCCGCTTACACAGAAAAAAATTAAATTATTAGTTTTTTTCTATGGGTTTAACCCTTGATCTCCGATTTGGCAAGGTAGTTTTTGAGAAAACTCAAAAAGATTTAAGAATTAACAAATATGTCAAAAAATATACTTGTTTGAGGACATAACTTTTTTCTACCAAAATTGGGGAATAGCCGCCTGAAAAGAGGGATCCCCATGATTTCTTTTTTTGATTAAAACGTACATCTCAGATTTGCGCATTTAGTATTTGGGAAAATGAAAAGTAAAATAAAAAAATAGGTCAAAAATCCCCCTCCGAAACTTTCGAAGGCCGTAGAACGGAGAGAGACTAGCAAAGTATGCAGGCACTAAAAAGAGCCGCCAGTTTGTCCATTGGTGTCCTTTTTTTGAAAATCGGCTCAGTATTTTGAGCAAAAATTTTGAGAAAAATGTTTCCAATGCGTCGCAAAAATACAACAAAAAACACTAAATCTCATAAATTTTCACAATACCTGTTGTTTTCAACAAAACCCTACACTAGCCAAAAATAACGCCGCAACATATACTTTTAAACTGCCTATGCTTAAATATGCCGAAATATGATTAAATAGAAATATACAAAAGTGCCACCAATGAGCGTTTTTATTTGAATTTTTTTTTCGTAATAATACAGTACGCTTCGCTGGTGTAAAGACATATGACTAGAAAATGATATATAAATCGACCCAATCAATGAATTTTGTGGTCTTTGATTATGCGAGGAAAACAAAAAGAAACACTTAAACACACACGAATACAAAGTTCCTCCACATTTTTGAAATGGTCGGAACAAAAACATCTTTGTAAAACAAGAACGAGCTATCTTCTGGCATCATAAATTGAAGGCACTTCAACCTCAACTAACATCCAAGAAAAAGCTCATTCCTGCATTCGCCAAAGAATAAGGAGTACATCAGTTGCTATTGCCTTTCGATCGTTGTCATTAAACAGAATCAATATATTGTTTTAGAGCTACAAGTCAGATATATTACTTTTCATATAATAATGAAGCCGGCACACCTACCTCCTTTGGTACATTTTGAAGCAAAGAGAGGTGCATAGTGTCGTTTGCTTTCTGGGGCACATTGCGCATCAGCTCCAGAGCTTCCTTGATCTCGGATTGGAAGTCACAGCAGCTCAACAAGTCCTTCAGCAGCAGACCGTACTTGGTGATACGCTGCACTGGTTTGATCAGACACGACTGGATTTCGAGAGTCAGCTTGCAGCTCTCTTTAACAGTCTGGAAAAATTAAACAAAACAGATTTGTTAGTTTTACTTCTGACAATAAATAGTCATGAACAAACAGTGACTTCATTTCCTGTTTTATCAAAGGCTTTACTAAGTTTCCAGCCAGCGAAATTCACATCTAGGAATTATTGGCTAACATTTTCCTTCAAAAAATGCTTGTTTTCGGTGATGACAAAAACTCGCTTTTTTAATCAAGGAATTATTAAGCTCCGCAAGAATGGACCTTCACTAACCTCAAAAAACGCACTTGACTCCGGCATGAGGATGACCCTGTTTGAATCAGGCATGTTCTTACAATACTCCACATATAGATGCTTGAACTTGTTTGCGTTTCTCACAAATCCATGGCCAACATCCTCCGGCCTGCCTCTGTAGCCTTCCAATTCTTTCAAGAATATTCTAGAAAAAAATTATCAGTAAGGACTTTTTCAACCAATAAAAGGGCTCTTTTTCTTCACCCCACCTGCAAACTTTTCAAGTATTTTCAAGATCACACAACCTCAATGTTCAGCCAATTCTCCTTTCAATTTTCATTAGTCCAATAAAATATTTTTCCGAAACTAAGGGTTACATTCTTTTAAATTGACGAAAAAAATCGACACAGAGGCGAGAGGCGAAGCTGAGCTCGCACTACTTGCGATACAAACAGATCTATCAAAATGAGGGAAAATAGTTGTGAAAAAACATGCCCAACTAATAGAATGCAAAATGAGCATCGGAACAAAGTTAACACAGAGGCGAAGCCTCGCTTCGCAACACTTGAGAACGCGACAAAAAGCAGCTCTATAAAGTGCCAGAAGGAAAATTAGAAAAAAGCCTCGAATTAGTTTAAAAAAACGGCTTTGTCTGAGATTCGAACGTGCAACCTAGAGATTAAGAGTCTCATACACTAACCACTCAGCCACGGACGCTAAATAGGCAGCAAACACAAGCCACAAGTACAGAAGACAACAGATGCTATGCAATTTCCAATGCTACAGTGAATTTTCCAAATAAGCGAACACTTTTAATGAACACTTTTATTTATGGGTTAGAAAAAGAAGGTTCATAATAATATAATGAGCTGATCGCAAGTGTAACCAAGCGGTGTCAAAGTCTTAAATACCTGAGCAGATTTTTTTAATCAAAACTAATTCAAAACGATTAACCTCATCACTAACAGGCTTCCAAAAACTTTTTTTCGCACATCGAACGACGCAAAAAGAGATTAATAAGGCTATAGTAAACAGGTATATAAAACAAGCCAAGAAAACGAAAAAATGCAATTTCAACAGACCGAGTGGTAAAAACACAACCTACTTAAAAAGTGCAGAGAGGAGCGTAAAAATTGGTTCATTCAAAACAACCGAAACGTAGTTCATTAAGCCGATAAAAAATAGGCCGAAATAATTTGGGCCAAAAAAAAATTTTGAGCGAAACAAAAAAAATATGAAGCAAAGGTAAGTAAAGTTAAAAACAGTAGGAGTAAAAAAAAAACACTAAAAGCAACATTAAAAATGATGCGCGCAGCAAAAAAAAAGATAATTTCGAGATTTGGCAACTAAGCCGATAAAGGATAAGCTGAAAAATAATAGGCCGACAATTCTATTTGAAATAGAATTTCCCATTTGAAAAACAAACAGGTCCTGGTCAGATTCGAACCCAGAATCTTTGCCGTCCCTGGCATTTTTCCTCCAGGCTAAGTGGGCCGGTAACGCTGAAAAATTTAATACAGGCGAAGCTTCGTTTCGCAAAAACTAGCGAGAATACGACGAAAAGCAGTTCTATAAAGTGCAATAGGAAAAATTAGAAATAAGCCTCGTACTAGCTAAAATTCGTTTTCGTCTAAGATTCGAACCTCCAAACTAGAGATTAGGAGTCTCGCATACTAACTAATCAGCCACGGACGCTTAATAGTACCCAAAAACTAGCCCAAAATAAAGCAGAGAACAGATGCTATGCGCAATTTCCAATGCTACCTTGAAATTTCGAAATAAGTGAAACTTTAAATGAACGCTTTTATTTGCGAGTTAGGTTAGAAAAAAGAAGGATCGTAATAACGCTAGTGTAAATACTGATCGCTAGTGTAAATGCATTATGAAACAAGAAGAAATTAGACATGAGTCTAGAAAAGTCCTGAGAACAAAAAAATTACCGGATTGCAATATGGACTGAGTTCGGAGGACTACTTCCGAATAGCTCCCCAGAGACTGAGCAACTTACACAAAGAGGTGTGATTACCTACTTTCATACTTTTAGTCTTTTTTATTTCATCCAATACCCCTGCCGCCCTGCCCCTTGTTAATCTTACAATCATCAATAGCGAGTATTTTAGAGTTAAAGAGAAAAAAGTTAACACGGTTGGCTGGGTTGAATTGTGAAAGTTGGGGGGAGCGAAATTGCAGATAAACAAGTGCCAAAAAATGTTGCAGCACTTAACAAAATATGAAAAATTTTTGGCTTGTTTTCCTTTAACCACCCACCTGTAATTTTTTAGTTCACATTTTCTGATAGTTATAAAAATTGGCATGCGGACTAAATAGGTCATGACAAGTATATTTTGTCTTCTTAATCTTGTAAAACCCGCCGCTACACCATAAAATCGATCTTACTCTGAATGGAAATTGTAGATCTGTTCAATGTTCGCAAATATGATTGACTTCTTGTCCATTAATGTAGGTGGCATATTGGGCGCACTTTTGAAACTACCCAAGTAGTTTTTCACGCATAGTTCTAAGTCTTTGACGTAGAGTTTTTCTGTTTCTAATAATTCGTTTATAACGAAGTCTCGTTTTCTTTCAAGTCTGCATTTCTCACTATCAATCACAGGCGTAGACGGGACTGGCTGCAACTGGCCTATCGTATCAGTGCCTGGCGTCCCGGAACCGGGAGTTGAAACACCAGATGACAGATTCCCAGTTCCAACTGGCGTATCCGGTGCTGGACATTCCAATTGCAACGGAACCAGTTTTTCCCAAGGCGGTGGTGCACCCAGCAGTCTGTAACTCTGGGCACATATTGCGTCAGTATCTTTGTGGAAGCACTTATACGTAGCATATACTTTTTTGCACAGTTTTTGTAAATCGTTCATCTGAAGTGTCGGATGTACCAGTGAAGGACTACTCGGAACCTTATCTGAAGTTTCGGAGACGGGCGTTTGGGAGTTCTTCAGGTCTGCGAAACGGCACATGAGCTCCTCTACATTCTGTTTCTGTTGTCTAGCTTGTTGCCTGAATGATTCATGCTGAGAAATGACAAGTCGCAGTTGGTCGCCTGTTAAAGGCTGCGCCCCCGCGATGATTCCTGTAGTAGCATTAATGTAGACTTCCCGATTATTCTTTAGCCATTTGAGAACATTTTCACAGTCATGTCTAAGCTCTGCAACTTTCAAATGAGTGTCGAGTCGTTTCTTTCGCTTGTCCCATGCAGCTAGTAAGTTAGTTTCCGAGACCAAAACCGAATCCATTTTCTGCTGAACAACATTTTTCGAGATCTTGTCATCCCGCTTATCCGAACTGAAAGGCTCATGGTTAACTTTTCTCAGAAGCTGTGCCAAGAAACCTTCAGATAATTTACGGATGAAACCACATAGCTTTGTGAAATCATCTTTGCAGCTGCTGTGTTTAGCGAGAAGTGATCTCAAAGCTTCGACCGGCATATCTGGTGACGTATCCTCCTCTAAGCTGAAGTCCCTCTGAAGGGATTCTAATGTGTCGACCAAGTTAGCATGAGTCTTGAAGAAGTTACTAGCTGTCCTGGCCAAGTCATTCCTGTATTCAACTCTCGAAACTAGACGACCCCAATCGTCGGCAATTTGCTTCGCCAGCTGATTGATCCTGACATTACCTTTGAAGTCATCCTGGTACATATCGTCGCCATTTGAAGCTCCTGGATCTGAATTTATATACTCCATTGAGCTCAGAATAAACTCTGCCCGACGATACACTCCAAGGATACTTTGATGCTGTTTTTGCAGACAGGCATGAAAATGTCGAGTTTCGTCTTCGAGTTTCGACGCATCGTCCAAGCAAGACAGTTGAATAGGAGAATGGTTCAGTTGATTCTCAGCTGTTTGAATCCAGTCTAACGCTTCCTTGCATTCGTCTTCAAAGTTGTTGACCTCAATTTGCAGCTGAAATTGTTGTCTTTGTTGGTTGTCTGATTCTTGAAGTGTCTCTACATTATCTTTCAAATCAGTCCACAACTTTTTAACGTATTCATCCGCGCTTATTCCCATCAAATTACAGTCGAAAAAATGAATGTTGGTCACATTCCGAACATACAAATACAACTCCTGTCCTGCTTTTAAAACTTCTTTTGCATTTTGAACTGTTGCATTCACGGCTTCCGAAGAGTTTTGCAACATCTGCGCAACACTATTGGCATTTTCGTGTCGTCTGATTTCATCCAGTTGTGCAACCCAATAACTCGCGTTTTCGTTGATCTCTCGACATCGTTGTTCGAACCAGCGAAGCTGCTCCCCCAAATCCAAACTGAACTTCCGATTACTCCACAATTCATCTAGTTCACGTCTATGATCGTCTAGACTCGCTATCAACTCAGTTACAGCTCGGTATCCAGCTTCATCAACTGTTCCAGCGCCAGCTCCAGAATTTCCACTCCTCGATTTCCCTCTGGCTTCGTTCACACTCCGTTCACTGCCAATACCACTATCACTCTTCTCAGAACTGGTCATACTTTCGTTCACAACATCAGGCAAGGTATACTTTCTTGAGTCATCGTTGTCAATTGCCATTTGACGTAGCTCCTCTCTCAATTTCTCGCCATCATTCCGACAGTCCAGCATTGCGTCAATTGTTGCATTGCGTTCAGTCTCAAACGATTTCTTTGCGCTTCTGACAGCTTCTAATGTTTCCGGGACCGAATTGTCACTTAGTTTCTCTTTAAGCAGCTTGATCCATGCGTTTATATTTTTCATGTTGTCGTAAAATTTAAAAGCAAGTTGGAGCAAATTGGTCCTGTAATCGACTTTCTCCTGAAATTGGTTCATTTTCACCTGGATTAGATTGATGTACTTGGATATTTTGGACTGGTCTCCAACTCCAAGACGTAGAAGCTCATTGCCAGTCTGCACCACTTTTTGGGCGTTCTTCTGGGTGCTTTTGGCAATCGTTATAAATTCATCGTGCTTCCTGACCAGCGCTTTGGTTCTGGTCAGAGACTTTCCGATATTTGTAGTTTTCCTTATGAAGGGTTCACCATGATCGTCAATCCAACTCACAACCGCGTTTACGTCTTTTTCAAACATTTCAACGGCAATGAATAAACTAATGCATTGTAGTTTGTTCTCATATGCCATTTCGAGATGTTGGAAATCTTTCAGAACTCGAGTCTTCATGGCTGAAACTGGGTCACTGCAAACACTGTAATTCAAATCATTGGCCCATGATTGTCCATTTCCGTATTCGTCTACTGGAGGGGGTTGTAAAAGCAGTTCCAGTAGCGCTTTAGCCAGTTGACCCACCTACAATCAGGTCAAGTTTACTATTTGAATTAGATTCAAAGTTTGCTCACTTAGTGATTAAACATTCGAAAAGCAGTCATACCCACTGCTGACAGTATACACCCTAACAATATATGCAGTTAACAATATACAACTTAAGAGCCTTATTACTTTCAGTCATAAATTTCCTGATTGACACTTTCCAAATAAGATATCATTGCTTATCAAATCCGGTATACTTAGAGTACTACAGTCAACGAAGAACAATGAACTGAAAATTACAGAAGGTAGCACAAAATGCTACAATCATACTCTTCTTTCAAAAAATGAAAATATCAAACGAATATTTGAATATTTTTTCTCAGGTGAGGGCGATGCTTGTCAGCCAACTCTGTAAGCAGCCAACTCTGTAGGATATCTGTAGTTATTAGAGCATTTTAAGACACGTTCATTACTCTTAATAATCAGAACCAATTTACACAGGAAAAATATCCTTTCTAGACACCGGGAAAACATTTTTGAAAAATTTCGTTTACAGCTTGATCAAAGGATGGAGGACTTCAATATGATGGCTAATTGTGCAGAATGATTTAGATGATTATTTGAAATGTAAAACCAAGGAAAATATACAACGAAGGGGTATGAAAATTACAACTGACAGGAGTAAGCCAAAACACTTGTATCTCAGATGAAAATTACTGACAGCACAAAAACACTCCCCGGTGTGGCAACTAAGCTGCCAAAACATAAGCATGCAAACGAAAATCCGTCAATTCAAATTTCCCCGGAAAAAATTTTCAATTTCATTCACACTGAAAAAAAAAACAAGGTCCGGCCGGGACTCGAACCCAGATCTTTGGGTACAAATTCAACCGCATTACCTCTAGGAAAAGTGGGAAAACATTTAAACTTTGATAAGGATAAGATTCAACAATAAAGCAACTTCACATGAGTAAGAAAAGTTGTTTACTGGAAAAAAGTCTAATTCCCGAATACATAACACTTGCTCACGCAAGTTTAAAAACGAAAACCGCTTTAGTCCTGGAAATGGATCAAATTTTGACGAAATCGTATTGAATACAAAATTCGGCTCTTTTCCAGTCCCCCCCCCTTTCAAAATACCGAGTTTTATGTTTGTTTTACGTGTTATTACGGCTAAATGCGTGATGTTACGCTGTAAAGTATGAAGAACAAATTTGTTCAGTTGTCGATTTGTTAACCACGCCAAATTAAGCTTTTCAATTAAGCTTTTCAAAATTGAATTTGAAGGGGGGAAACTGGAAAAGAGCCCAAAATTCAATACAAAATCGTATTGAATACAAATTCGTATTGAATACACAAATCTGAAAACCGCCTTAGATCTTGATATATGAAAACTGATACTTCAATTGACGGAAGAAATATCGAGAAACTACGAAACGGAAGACGATCAAGGCCTTGAACACCGACGAATATCAAAAGCAGTGTAAAAACAACATGATGACAAAAAGCACACCCGAATCTAGAACTTCGTCTCCACGTATTCAACGCAGAATCATGTATAAAAAATATAATTAGTTTTATTGAGAGCAGAGAAAGTACCTCGTTGTAGAAAACTTTAATCTTGTTGAATGCCTGGTTGAGGGACTCCTTCATGTCTATGAGTTCATTGGGGGCTGTCATAGTGAAATCTATTCCCAGAATGGCTTCTGTCCAACTTGGAACTGAATTGATGAACTGAAAATGACAAGCTACGTCAATCCAGATCAAACAAACTTTGAATCCCCATTCTAGTAACTGTACTAACTCGATTCAGGATTTTTCAGAGGCTTTTGTACTTTGGAAAGGTTTTACTTGATTTTTAAATCCTCCCAAATGAATATTTGTTAACTTTATTTAAATAAGTCTAGGACAATAAAACAAAAAGCTCTTGGATTAAGCAATGAAATTCGTAGCTATCATAGAAAAGACCCTATTTTTATACAATTGTCTGACGGCAAGTTTAGCTTAAGCGTACATCCTCTGCTTTGGAGAAGAATTTGACAGTCAAAGAGATAATTCGTGTCCTTTCTGCCAGCACTCCCGCAAACACATTTCGCTCTCGTTCTAGACGCTGTGCTTCATGAGTGATATCATGTCTGGCGTAATGGTTTTTAGAGACCAAGTGACCAGCCAGACTAACCAGACGGTCAATTTCCTTGAAAGCATCCTGAAACTCAATTTGAATGCAAAAAAATGTTGCAAAATTTAAAATTTTATGCAAAATTTAGGCAGCCATCCATAAAAGTACTATCACTATCACTTTATCCATTAAAGTATCGATCACTTTATCATAACCTAGATTTAGAACAATTTGTATGAATAATCGGAAATTTACCGTCGCAACTTGGTTGAAAGCCTCGTCATTCTTCTGTAGCGCCAATGCTGATTGAGAACTATCGCAAACTTGATTGTACGTGAACATAAATATCTTCCTACTTTCCTCCAGCCATTGAAACACAATCACCATATCCGCCTCAAATGCCCTCAGCTGGTAACATTGGTCCAACCGCTGTCTGTTCGAGCCCCACAGTTCCATCAGATGGGGTCTGAAGAACTGGATTCGTTCGACTAGGTTATGTACTTTTGGGATCCAGGAAGCGAAGTCTGGGTTTCCTGTCAACACTAACTGACAACTTGTTGTCCCACTTGATGAATTGGTATAGAACTTAGAGGAGTAGCAACATTGGTTCAGAGTTTGCTCTAGTGACATTCCTTGCTGCGCAATTTGCGGAAATGGAGCGTTTTCGATCACTTGTTGGAATTTTTGATGCTGATTTGAAGCAACAAGCGCTGTTTGCGAGTCCGCAGCAAGTTCCACTGAAGCCATGCGCTCTTGCACCTTCTCTAGTTTTGCTAGAAAACTGTTGGCCTGCCATGTGAATGTCTCGAATGAATGTCTCAAATGAATCCACTGGTTATGATCGTAGTTTAAAGTTCCTTCGAAGTGAATTGTAACTTGCGTCTTATCAATAAATTTAACGAGTGCTTCCAAACTGATGACTGACGTCTAGAAGCAAAAGTAGACTTTGTTAAAATCATACATGAACTCATTGTCAAATTTGAAGCAGCGATTTAATTCATACCTCAAACGATAACTTAGACGACCCAAAATTGGCTTTTTGCTTTTGTAGAAAATTGTCTGGTCGAATCACCAAAGCGGACTGTATCTGTTGTTCTTTATTTGAATCCTAAACATTCATTAAGTAATTAAGTCAATTGCTTGTTGAGTCTTTGTAGCCTTCGTTTGTTTGACCTACATCAAATGCTTTCAGAAGAGGTTTGACTGTTTCCCATTTACATCTTCGCATGTCCACGAGGATAGTGAAGCCTGGTTTGCCTTCATCCTGAGAAGGGATTCCTAAGAGGTACGTGATCAGCAGCTGCAAGTCTTCAGAGGCATATCGATCTGTTTCCTTCTTCGAGGGGCAACTAAGGATCCTACAGCCCTTCTTGTCACGGCCACCTAGAGCATGACCACATGTAAAATATAGTTTATTAGAAGCGACAACTTTTTCCTGACTTCAAAGCGGTATTTATAAAAGACGCACAACATTACGTACGGTTTTTTTAAAGATGCGTTTGCATTTTACGATAGTGCCAATATGGACTAATTAATGTTTCCTTCATTTCCGCTGTTGATTAATTTTATCTGGACTGAAAATTTCAAACACGATTTTTCTCAAACGCGCTAGATTCAGAGATAGTATATCTAAAGACGAAAGTGGCTCAATTTTGCCGGAACAAAAACGGTCTTAAAAAACTGCCAAACTGGAACTCATAAATTCACTATATGAAATCGATATACATTTTTTTTGCTAAATTAGCATTTTGTTATTGGAGAGCGCAATGTGCCATCGATTTAGCAAAGAAATAGTATTGAACAAAAGAAATCAATTCAAACCACTAAAAATCACATTTAGGAGCGTGAAATTTTGTGATATTTTCTTTAAAAAAAACCGCACGACTCAAATAAGTGATAAATCAATTCTTTTATCAACACTTAGAAACAAGGACAGCTTGTTACTGTGCAAGTAGCACAGAATCTTCCGACCATAATGCGTGGTGTGATAAAAAATCTGAACAAAAAACAGACCTCAAGCACATTCTACAGTCATAGAAAAATAAGGGCAATTGGAAAACAGTTTTTGTAGAAAGATGACTAAAAACAAAATCAAAGAACTTTCCCAAATTTTTGCAGAAATTTTTTGAACAGTTACTTTTTGATTCCAAAAATGTCGCTTAAGAAAACTCTAGAAACTAACTTTACTTGTGTAAAACTAAGTTTTTACGGTTTAAAGTAAGCATAAAAAAGCTATTGTAAGCCTGCACGCTCCTTATTAGATCGAAATTACACCAAAAAATCCAAAAAGTCAAACCGGTTTTTCTCGACACTGAGAAAATGTTTTCTAAAATTTTGAAGTTCGTTCAAATCACAACTGAAATGGCTTAGATATGATATATCCCTCTTCTTATTCCGATGATCATTTTTGGTACCTGATTTTGCGTGGAAAAAAAAGAAAAACAACTTGAACACACCCGAATACATATTTACGGTATTTTTTTCAATGCAATAGAAAACTGATATCAAAACAAGCCCAAAACAGTGAGCTCTTAACGCAATAAACTCTCCGCGAAAACATTTTTTAAAATTAAAAGAACAGCAAGAGAAAATTCGTTTCAGTGGCAATTCCGAAAATTATATCAAAGGTTATCGCTACTGAACGGTTGAAATTGTCAATATCGGCTTTTTTTACAAAAACAAGTAGCAATCGCTTTTACAGAGGCCTGAAAACAAATCCGAACTGAAACAATCATATTTAAAAAGCTATGTTATTTAACAATCATATCTGAGTTTTTTTATACTTTAGCCAGTGATCGTTTTCTCAGATTATGAATACTTAGCGGCAAGGGCTAAATACGGAAATGAAAACTTCACTAATAGATAGTGAGCAGAACTTTTCTTGAAACTGATTTTTCAAATGATACTGCCGGCGTCTCTAGCCCCGCAGTGTAGACATAGTCACAAGCGTTGATAGTGTTCTGCGAATTCGACGAGATCTCGCGCAAAATTCATCTCATTCCAGAAAATGAGCGCAAACAAAACAAACATAGTCAACAGACAGATGGAAAAGGGTCAATGAACACAAGGAAACAAAACAGAAATACTGACTTGATTTTTAAAAAACAATTCAACTTTCGAAGAAAAAATATATGGCCTTACAGCTCTTCGAATTTCAAAAACAACTTGTTCATAATATTCAAAGAGCTTTACTTCCATTTTAATTTCGACACTTTCTTGATAAAATTAACCCAATTGGAAAAACTAAATCAATAAGTAAGCTTTAAATCCGCAGGAAAATCTCAAAAGCAAAATCCACTTTCGAAACTGCAAGTCAATCAGCTTTTCCTCGAATTTCACACTTATTCTGTTCAATAAAGGAGTTTTTATTCCTCTCAACCTAAGAAATAAGCCTTCCGCTAAACTTTAAAAAATTCAAACCGCGTAAAATCACATTTGAGCATTAATAAAAAAAGAAACAAGGATGGCCGGTTACCGTTCTTCCGACCGGTATCTTCCGACCACAATTTTTTTTTTAAACAAATTTCTTAGTGTTGTTTTTTTTCTGAGAGGTGTGATAATAATATCTGAACAGAAAAAACATAAACTAGGTATATTCGACAGTCATGGAAAACAGTTTATGTATAAAAATGACTGGAAAAACTAAAACAAACGTCAAATTTTTTTGCTGAAAATTTTTGAATTTCTGATTCCCAAAACTCGCTCTAAATTTCCAAAAAAGAAATTTTCTCGAGGCTTAAATTAAGCTTGAATAAGCTATTGTAAGCATGCAAACCTTATTTAGACAAACCTTATTAGATCGAAATTAGACCAAAAACGAAAAAAATTGAACCGGTTTTTCTCGACTATGAATGTTTTTTCAAAAGTGTAATGTCATTCAAATCACGACTGAAAGGGCTTTAATATGATATATCACTCGAACTATTCCAAAGGTTATTTAAGGTACCTGATTTTGCGTGGAAAACACAAAAACTAATACACACTCGAATACAAAGTTCCTCCCCATTTTCAAAGGCCGGAACAATAATTGAAAAAATTATCACTATATAAAAGTGGTTACTACGCTCATTGACTCTTAAAACATACAAAAAATCGCAATAATAACTCGCAGTTTTTCATGAAACTTAACCGGCTTATTTAGACTTATTACATTTTTGATGTTAAGCAATGTTAATTTATCTGGAATTACAAAAGACAACGAGAAATACAATGGCAAGAGTTAAATTAGTATTAAAAAATATCAAGGGGTTACGAGGCAAACAATATATTTGGGTAGATGACGTTGATCCGAATAAAAATTCATACAATTTTTAAGCTATAATCCCCAATCTAAACGACGTATTTTGAGGCAACTGAAACAAAAAACAGAACATAGCTAACTGACAGCTGATAAAAAGTAATGCACGCAAGAGAACAGAAAAAAAAACACTGACTTTCGAATTTCAAAGAAAAAATAGATGCTCTTTAAGCTCTTTGAATTTCAAGAATTATTTATGCTTGGCCCTTTTCTGATAACATTTACCCAATTTGAGAAAACTGAAACAATAGGTAAAGTTTTTATTCCGCTGGAAATCTAAATATTAAAATCGACTTTCGACACTAGAAAGTGTTCGTTTTTTTTGCACCATTTCCACTTTCAGATTTCTGTAGTTATGAGAGCATTTTAGGACTTTTTTCTGAAAAAAAACTAAAAAAGTCACCAAGACCTATATAAGAGTCTTCACTACGTTCATTACTTAAAAAAGACACTGACTTTGTTTAAAAAATCTCAACTTTCGAATTTCTAAGAAAACAATAGATGCCCTTTAAGCTCTTTGAGTTTCCCGAACAATTCATGAATTGCGCTTTTTTAATTAACCCAACTTGAGAAAACTCGATCAGTAGGTAAAATTTGAATTCACGTCTGTAGTTATTAGAGCAATCCAAGACTTTCTCCTGAAAAAAAAACAAAGAAAAATCACCAAGAACTTAATGTGTCTTCACTACGTTCATAAAACTTAATTATAAAAAATCAATGTTGAAAATTTACATATCACATGAAAAATCAAAATAAATTGATCAAAACTGGAAAAAAAAACTACAGACAAACGATAGTACGGCCATTAATGTTATCCAAAATCAATTTTTTTTTCTTCAAAAATATCAGCTCCCGGCGGAAGCGAACCCAATAACTCTGTCGTCCTAAGCATGCCCATTACATCTGGGGTAAATGCGCAGAAACCGTAAGTTAATTGAAAATTCTTATGCATTCAACATCTCATGTACGAAATCTGTTGGAAGTTGTTGTTTACGTGAAAAAAGGTCTAGCACCCGATAACAATAACCTTGCTAATGACGAAGGTAAAAACAGACAAACTAACAGTTTCGAAAAAAGAGAGTGAAAATACGGTCTAACTCTGGAAAAAATTCTTCTGAGTATATCCATCGTACTACCTATAAAGTCACAGGGCAAAGCAGAGCTTCGCACCACTTGTGATGCAACTTAAACGTAGCAAATTGGTCGAAAAATTTTAGACCAATTAGTCTCTAATTATGTGTAAATTGAACAAAATACTTGGAGGATAACAATTGAAACCGTTAAATTGGCATTCCGAAAAATTGACGTTTTACCTAAGCGGACAAGACTTGGGTAGATGATCGTTGAACCGAAATTAAATTTACCAAAAAAAAAATTTGAGCTGAAAAGTTTTGAAATTCAAAGTTTCCCCCTCCCGAAAACACAAAAGCATAAGAATCAATTTGCTCTTAAAACGACGCAACAAAAAATAGGGTGACTAAGCCAAAATCACATTTGTCGAAACCATTTAAGCCAAATAAACCGTTCAGGCAAAAAATGTGAAAGTGAATTTAAAAAGAAGAGGGGTCGCAAATTTGCTAATTACAGGAACAAATCAAAACACCTTTCAGTTCTAGCAAAATTTGATTCAATCAGAAGAAAATTTGTCTGATTGAGAACGTACGCAGACAAAAAAAGCAGACGAAAAAAAGTCCGATAATTATTTTCTCACAGAAAAAAAAATCATCTTAAAAAAAAAACGTTGTATATATTTTGATATCTTTGCTGAAGAAATGATGCAGTGATTTTTTTTAAAAAAAGTTGTGAACCCGAAAAAAAACACCTCTATTTCGATTTGATAAAACTGGCTAACCGCAGCCGTAAAATAAACACGACAATCAGGAAACTTGATTAGGAAAGTTAGCCAAAAAATCAAAACCAACCTTAAAAAACACCAAAGAAAAGCGGAGCCTGGCACAACTTGTGAGACACCAAGCAAAATTATCATTGCAAGCTGGCAGACAGAATGAAACAAATGCCGAGAATAAGTCGAAATTGTTTTTAAAATGTCGAACAAACCACTATCAAACGGTTGTCGCGAAGATGTTAAACTTGAGAACACTTTCAGCAAGATAATAGACGGCGTTTAACCAGTCTTAAAGATTTTTATAGTGTGGCAACTGAGACGAGACGACGCTTACAGCACCAGAGGAGCAGTGATTTAGCAAATAATCCGAAAAAAAACATGGACAGACTGACGATAAGTCGGGTAAAAGGCCGGCCCTTTTTTTTGAAACGGCAAATTTTCAGTTACAAATCAAGTCTCGGCTAGATTCGACCCTAGGAACTTTGCCGCTTCAGGTGTGGTTGTTACCTCTAGCTGAGCTAAATGGGCCGGAGTATAAATCAAGATGTCAATATAATAACTAGAAAATGTCTCAAACTCTGATTTGATAAAGCCTGATAGCTTTCAAATAAAACACAGAGACGAAGCAGCACTTCGCGTACACAAGCAAATGAAAATGGTGAAACGACTCTAACATGAAAAAAAAAGAAGAGAAAAGTGAAGAAAACGCAAAAAGAAGTCTTGAATTCTATGCACCGGATTCAAACCACGGACCTAGAAATTTTAAAAAAACTTAAATCCTCCCAACTACCTTACAGGCTTTTGTAGATAGACAAACATTAGCGGCCCAGCTGAAACTGGAGGTAACCGTTTGAATTTTCTATTGAATATGTTCAATTGATGCGGAAGGGAAAGTGTAATTGTAGAAAATTCATAATTTTAAGGGTTTCATTGGGGGCGATCCCCATGACATGCTCTATCGATTTTGATATACAACAGCATATGTGAAAACTTTCATTTGCGACTTATGTTGGAAAAAGTGGACATCCAGGAACAAAAACACGAATGTGGTAAAAATCGTTTCGATTATATTCATCATCTTCAGTTATGAACATTGCGTAGCTAACATGTTAGGATGACACTACGCTCCGTTGAGTAAAAAGAAATGCCCCTCCACCTGCGAGTTTTTACTAGTAAATATTCGGTTCACAAAGTCTGATCGTTTTTGGCACTAAAATTGGCATGTAAAATAATTAGGCCACAAACATATTTCGTTCTCATATTTAACCTTGTAAAACCTCTCGTTACACTATAAAACTGATCCTTATGTGAGGTGAGGGGAATGCAAAGAGCCAAAAATTAAATATTAGATAGAAAAGAATCTGATAGCGGGAATCAATTTACCAACTTAAAGACCCTAAGTCTCAAAAGTTACATCTACGCCAGCTGAGCACCTTAACAGAACATTGAATGGATTCTCATGTGCAAAATTCACCAATTTGAAAGAAACTGGATCAATAGTTATTTTTCATCTGCAAACTTTGAAAATATCATTAGAATAGAACCGCAAGTTATGCTCCGATTCCTCTTTTGTCCTTGTGATTTGCACTATTTTAAAAACTTCAATTCCCCGACCTACTATAATTTGGTATCAGCACCAGGTATTGCTCGTTCATTCATAATTTAAAAATTGATAGCAAAATGTTTTGTTGGAAAATAATTTCTCAATTGCTATATTCCATTTTAAGAGGTACAAACCTGTTAGAAGAATTATTTCCTCTTTTACGAGCCATAGAAGTTTCTCTCCAGAAAGGCCATGAAAATTCTCTTCTAAAAAGCCATAGCAATAAAAAAAACCATTGCAATCGATTGTCAAAGAAATATGAAAGAAATACTCACCTGAGTCGAAAAATGAACTATCAAAAATTCTATCACATCGTTCCATGTGATTTCTGAAAAACAGTCAAGATTTAGCCGATAAATAGCCAAACGAAAATATTCGTTCACTAAGAAAATACACTTTTTACACAGAGGACTTCAGAGCTACGGTGCGAGATGTCAAATTCTATTGGCAGAGAAGTATGAAGGTATTTCGACGATTGGAAATGTAAGATCAACAAAACTTAAGAGCCCGAAACAGCCTGTTCTTTATACACAGTAAGTAGTATACAGTAGTGTTATCTAGGCTACGAAAAAAAAAGCTGAAATACTTGCCCCAAACCCGGAAAAACGTCGATAGCATTTCTGTAACAGAATTTTGTAACTGAGGAATATGAAACAATTTTGTCTTTTGCAAAGGGTTCTGGATTCGGTCCGGACAAAATGCTACAAGTTATTAAAGAATTCATAAGCATTACGCTCAGAAGCATTTTGTCTATATGAGCGGGTGCAAATGTCTTTTAGAACAACGAAGTTTTTTGGGAGTTCTCCGGTAGGACGTGGCGCCAGATGAGATTTGGGAATTGCTGCACACTCCTTTAGAAACTTCATTGAACGTAATGACAACACAACGAGCTGAATTTTATTTCATTGGGTTCTAGTAATGCATTTGAATCACTTTTTAGGAAAACTATGATGAATCACGATTTTCGAATCGCTCGGAATTGTAGCAATACACTCATTGCGCCTACAGTAAGCCGATATATAAAAATAAACTAAACGAATTAAAATTGTAAATTACGAACGTTTTCGCACATTCCTGCATCGCCAGCTTTCAAAGAATTAGGAGTTTACATAGTTGTACATTTAGTTGTACATAGTATAATTGATCCATATCAGACGGATCAACCTGAAATTCACCTTATCTCAAAATAATCAGATAACATATGCTCAGATTAGTAAAATCAAAAACATTTAGACATCAAATCTGGAACTAACTATAGTAATGTAATTAAGCGGTTACGCAACGCTCTAGAAGTTTTATTGTACTCAAGTAGTTTTTCTATAATCGAGCAGTTTTGGAACTAGAGATTTTTTAATCGGAGAAAGCCGCGACATATCTTTTTCGAAAATCGAAAGGTCGCCCATATGGTCGCGTAAAGTCGTGACAAACCAACCAAAACATTGGTGGTCGCAACATACACATTTTATTCTTTTTCCGTAATAAGTTTTCGTTTCGGGTCGGTTATTTGAAAAATCTTCTATCTGATTTTTCGGTTTTGTCAAAACTCTCCCAATTTGAGGTCGTTCTACAAATCCGATGAATAGTTCCTTCAATTAAATTTCCTTTATACTGTGAAGGAGCGCAGCTTCTAAAATTAATAATAGTGCCGGTATCAGTGGGTTTCTTGTACGACTCATATGAGACCTGTTTCCGTGAAACGACGTTTAAATTAAAGTCCAGCAAGGACAAATTACTGTTCTCACCTAAATCGTCAAAGGTAAATTGTTGGTTTGGATGCAGTCTTCAGGAGAACCCCAGGATCATCCCTTAATTAGACAAAAAAAACTGAAAAAATGTCTCGATAACGACATTAAACCAATTTTTTGAGATTTCGCGTGCCAGATAACAGCGGTTTTTTTGGATCAAGCGGTACAGAGTTGTCGATTGAAACTCTTGAGATCTGAGTTAAGCCGGCAAATGCGGATAATAGTAAGGCATCAGAGATTCTAGCTATGCCAAGAGAGGTAGTAAGAAGGGGGTATAGATAGAAAATGGTGGCCTTCAGGAGTATTCTATCGCAATCAGCAAGCAAGGAGTAATAGCAAAAACCTGATAAGAAGACACAAAATCAAGTTTGAGAAACTCCCTGAAATACAGGATAGACCAATAAAAAACTTGATTACAGGTCGATCTAAGGGGTAGAATGTGAATCCTGCTTGAATTGGTACCACTTAAATTGTGGCAGCATAACAGAATCCGAATACCCGAACATTGCTGAAACAGTCTGGTAATGCAGGTCATGCTTGAAACTACACAAAACGGATCGATCCGAGGCGGGTGTTAAGGCTTTTCTTATATATGTGGATGACATAATTAAAACGGTGAGGTGTGATCCTGTGGTCCTCGAGGCTGCTAATATGATAAGTTGCATCAAACTTGCAATTTACCTTAGAAGAATTAGATGAGAACGGCAAATTGACCTTCCTGGATCTAGATTCACATGCAAGCGTCGACTCACGGAAATAGGTCACATATGGGTGGTAACAGATACCCCGAGATACAGAACGCATCAAAATATTTTCAGATTGCATTAAGTTATACGCAAAATTTCTTGAAGAAAAACGCATCGTATCTTTTTTGAGTCTCGCAAAAGGCAAATATTATCGTGTTTACTCGCAACGTAACCGATGCAAGTCGCGACATCCATTTTAGGTCAGCATGGTCATGCCCTAGCTATTTTGAGTCAAGATAGTCCCGAAATGCTTCTTTCGAGGCGCGAAGTTTGCGGCTTAATAAATTCGAGTCGCGATGTTCGCGGTATCAGTCGGGGATCTGAAAGCGGGTGACTTTCGATGTTTAAATGAAGACCAAACGGAAAAAAATAATGAACTTTTCTTGAATCTTGACAGAAATGACTTTCCTTCAACCCATTATGAGAAGAAACTATAGAAAAACATGTATTTTGGTTGCGCTCTAGCATAAGTTAAACTTGCGCCAAAGTTTCGTGGCCGGGTTGAAACGCGCAGAAAACTTTCAGTCGAAAAATAGTCTGTTTCGTCATGACGCACCCAATATGAGTCACGAAGGTCGCGACCTACCCATTTTAGGACGGCATTATCAAGGCATACTGATTTCTGGTCACGATAGAAACGAACAAATTTTTTTAAAACAGATTAGAAAAAACTGTTAGCTGGCTACTTCACCTCGAGGAAATTGTCTTTATTCAGTGACAAATGTTGTAAAACTGTCAAAAAGCTTGTGTTTAGTTCATTTTTTTTGCTCTTCGTGATTGAAAATATCTCAATGCGAATTTCCAAGATAATTGTGCAAAATTAGTTGACCAAAAAGCTTGCACAATTGTTTTTTGCAAGCTTTTGATTCGTTTTTTTTTGAAATTTGACGTTAAATCATCGTTTTAAGTTAATGTCAAATTGATTACCCATTTGTTGTTGCGATTGTCAAAACATAAAGATTTTGAATTGCCATGGTCGCGGCATACTTATTTTGAGACGCTAAGAACTCGGCTCAGTTATTTCGACTAGCAATGGTCACGGCAAGAATTTGGGACTTCGGCTCGTGTGAATAATGCAAATTTTAAATAGAGAACAAAGGAAAAGCTTTTAACGACATCTTCTATAATCACGAACAGAATGACTTTCACTCCATTATCTTTAGTATTAAGTCCAAGCCTATTTTTAAGCCTAATTGTTGTGATAAATTTATTAAAGTTTCATAAATTGGATGATATGGTTGGAGACACGCAAAAGACGGCAAAAAAACGACGGGGATCGAAGAATACAAATTACAAATGAGTAAAGTACAAGCAGGCCGAGAATCTTGGTGACGAGGGTATTCGCCGTCACAACAAACAAGCACTCCAGAAAGCAATCATGGATATTAATTGGGCAGAAACTCTGGAACAAGATCTAGACAATGCGTATACACGATTCACTGAATATGTACTTGCAGAAATACAGAAGAATATGTCAGACAGAGATACACGATGTCTTCGCTAATAAAAACACTTTTTAAACTGTGTGCTCGCTATTTCAGACGTCGCCTCAGAGATGCTAACAACCTATCAGAACGAATAGGAACTCTTATCGCCAAAAATAGATCTAGTGAATTAGCAGACTCGTCACACGGCACTTCAAAATGGTGGCAAAAAGTGAAAGACACTGTTAAACCTGCCAATAAGCACCCAGAGAAGGCATTGCCATTGCCACCAGCAGTTTTCAACTGGTTTACAGATCTAGTGAATTAGCAAACTCGTCACAAGGCACCTTCAAAATGGTGGCAAAAAATGAAAGACACTGTTAAACCTGCCAATAAGCACCCAGAAAAGGCATTGCCATAGCCACCTACAGTTTTCAACTGGTTTGTAGATTTTCAAGCCGATCGACAACAACGAGTCGTTTTCGATAGTTAGAAAACGAATTTTCTGCGTATCACAGGAATACCACAAGGAACAATCAGTGGACCTTTGCTTTTTTCGTGGAAGATTTGAAACCAATAAATAGCCATGTTAGATTATCGAAGTATGCTGAAGATGGTACTTTTACCATTCCGGTGTATGAAGGTAATGGAGACAGCTCACTAAAAGAAATGAACAATAGTCAGACTTGTAACATTCGCCCGGAAGATACATACCGACGGAAAATAAAACTAATGCAAATTGAGTTGCTTACCAATTTAATTACTCCCTATACTCGAGTGCATCAACATGTGAGTTCCTAATTTAAATTTCTCGAGTGTGTTTTATGATTGTTATGTTGAGATAAGGCGAGTTTTAGGTTGATCCATTTGAAATGGATCAAAGTTCCACTGTCCAATAAAAAAGTAACTTAACGGATTGTTCCAACCCTGTTTTTAACGGCGTTCGCGTATTTTGGGTATCTTGAGACCTAAGTATGGGGAAGTTCTTATTTTCTAGAGTGGGGGGATATTTTGGTAGTAGCCTTCAAGCTGTAGCGAGTTCTAGTCTCATGTCGCAAGCGAACCGAACTGGCTCCAACCGTTCTTGAGGCAGAAAAACACAAGAGATAGTGTCCCTGACCCTTGAGCCAGTGGTTATAGGGCCTATTTTTCTTAAGCCTCATATGTGACTGCAGTAGGCGACTGTTACATAGTGTTTTTATGGCGCTCCTGGGTGTTTTTACGACATCATGACTACGGAGTCGAACCCACTTGACACAGCTCCGGGCTGCATGCCCATTCTAGAGTAGCGGTGGTACGGTTCAGTGGGAACGTGTAAACCTTCCGGTTGTACCGTGATAGCTTTTTAAGAAAACTTGAGAAAACTTCCTGGTACGCTCTCCGAACGAGGCCTAGCTAACCTAGTAAGGGGGGGT